ACGTAAGTGTGCTTAAAGAAGTATGGGGTAATATAAATTGATGTGAAGGTGGAGTTTTGGTTTGACATAAGTATGGGGTTTGAATGTTAAATTATATGTATTAAAGTGCTTAGGGAGGTGTAGTCACTCTTATATCTAAATGTATCCTACCCGTCCCGTAGCCTACATTACAACCAAATAAAGTCCTAATTGATCCAAGATTGAATGAGCTCGATTAGTGGAGTAGTACACTACGGGCAAGCTTATGGTGCATCTTTTGTGGCATATGAATGTTATTTCTGAGAGTGAGTGAATTCTTTCTATCTTGAGTTCCTAAGTGTTCTTAAATTTTATTGTGTGGAACTACTCTCTTTTGTTGTGTGAGGGCACTTGATTCATGAAGGAAAGGTAATGTCAGTCACCTCTATATTAGAGTAAGTGGGTGAGTTGTGAATAACGCGTGGTACTTGTGAGACAAATCTTGAGGTGAAGATGTTACGCTTTTGTGCTTAGTCTATTTTAAATACTCTTGGTGTGATGAGTTAGGAGAATTGTTTAAAAAGGTCGTATCTATAAAAAAAAGTGTAGTTTGATTGCTCGAGGACGAGCAACGGTTTAAGTGTGGGGTGCTGATGATAGGCTATAATTGCATATTTTAGTCGCTTATTACACTCGAATTTACTGCACTTTAATTGAGTTTGCGCTTTAATCGCTAGTGTTTTGCACTAATTGTGTGTTTTATGCCTTGTAGGTGTGATTCCGAGCTATATAGATGTTATGGAATGAATTTAAGTGATTTGAAGCTTTGAAGTCTGAGTAAAAGCTCAAGGAATTAAGCCGGGATCGTGTTCGGGGGTCAAATTTGATAATTAAGTACGAACGAAGACTTGAGGAGGCATATTGCGCACTGTCTAGTAAAATAGACATAACTTTTTGCTCAGAACTCCATTTTGGCTCCACAATATATGGTTGGAAAGCTAACTCAAAGGGCTACAACTTTCATGTTTACGTTTTCCAAATTCCAAACGGAATAGGGGCAAAAACCGAGGTTCCACCGCGACCGCGGCAGAACCGCGGTAGAAGATGGTCGCGGACAACTGAAGAATCAGAGGGCATGTTTGGCCGCGGTTCCACCGCGACCGCGTCAAAACCGCGGCAGGAAGCAAAAATTTCAGGGACTAAAGTGCAAAACATGGGATTTTAAGCCCTAAACCCTATATTAAACCAAAGAAGCCGGCCAAGAAAGAGAGGGGACATATTTTGGACACAAATTAGACCTAAGGAGGCGGAGGAGACACTACTTTAGGGTTAGACAACACCCTTGGAGGCAAGAACACATTGGGAGCAATGCGGAGAATTCTTCGACGAGTTTTTTCCTTCCTCTTCCTATTTTTCATTGTTGGTTATGACTTTTAGTATTGTAGTTTTACATACTATTATGAATAGCTAATTTGTTATCTAGAGTTTGATAGAATCTTTTGTAGGATAAATTCTTGTTATGTTTTTATATAATTGAGCCATAGCTTTTCTCTATTTGTTCAACTACGTTTATATTCTGGTTGATTGAAGAGCTCTCAATTAGCTGTGCCTATTTAGTATGCATAACTCGGGAGAGAGTGCATATTTAGGTAATTGTTGAACAACACCACTCCCAGAGTATATGAGGGATTAATAACCGAGGGTTTAAAGGCGGGATGTAGGGATAACGAAGCCTTGGGTGCGATCTGAAGTGAGCTGTATTAAAAGCCAGCTAGCGTAGCTCGGGAGAGTGCGTCTAGTAAATTGTCGTAATTACTCGGGAGAGATTTACGGTAATAAGAGTGCTCATGATCGGTAGAGAATACTTAGGCGAAATTATAGAAGACATAGCGGGAAAGGATTCCGACAATAGGGGGATAATCATACTCTAGACCTCCTTAATCTTTTCTCTGACCTCAGTATCGTTAGTTGTTAATTTAGTATTTTAATTTGTTTATTAATTAGTTAAACAGAAAGAATCTTAATATCTATAAGTTAGGAATTGTTCAAGCTAGTCATTCTTGGTGATTAGTGAACAACTGTACTAAACCTTAGTTTTCTGTGGGATTCGACCTCCGGACTTGTAAACCGGATATATATTTGCAGCGACCGCATTTTCCTTTTTATAAGGCATAGTTGGCGTGATCAAGAACTGCACTACTATATTTGAATTGTGTTTTTTGTAAAGTATGATTTTATTAAAGTAATCCCTTCATTTGTATGCCTCTCTAAATTTCGACACCGCTTACAAAAATTCTGCGTACGCCCCTGTATAGTGTTTCTACACTTCCCTTCCAGCGCGACTCGAACCTAGGACCTAACATCGTGGGTGGAGGTGGTTTTACAGCCTCACTTGTCATCTATATATTCTTATGGTAGAACAATTAGGACTTCTTCTTTTTTAGGTCAAGCACTAACTATGTAAAATTGATTACTTTAAGGGGGTTGCTTAATCCTTAGCTATCCGTTATTCATGTCCGGCTAATACATATATTCTTATTTCACATAATTGTCGTGCATAAAATAATCGGAAAAGGGTTATATATATCCTTTTACTATCAAATATTAGTTTATATGTATCCTCCGTTATATACTATTCGACGTTTCTTACCCCTGCCATTATCTTTTTTAGCATTTTTATCCCTCCGTCTAACGGATCCAGGCCCATGTACATGTGGCAGTTCTTTTTAAAAACTCCAGATTCCTTTTTCTTTTCCAACGCAAGATCCACACCCGGACCCGTACAAAACCCATACAATTATAAGAGTTCATCTTCTTTATGCTAAAAAAATTAGGGTTCTTGTTATCTTTAAAAATTTTATCATTACTCCTCAGAATTTCACCACAAAGAGTGCTATTACCATGATAACAAAATCAAATTATAAGAAACAAGAAGAGGAACCTTCATATTTTTTTTAAGAAAAACATATCAAAGAACAATCACTATGCATATCTTACTTTTTTGTGTACTAATTTAATAATTAATAAATCACTTTTACAAATTAGAGAGAAATATATTACAAATTTCAAATTAGGTTTATTAGATATTTTTACTCCTTAAACCACTCAATAATCCTCGTTTATTTACTTCTTTATCTTCCCTAGAATTATTAATCTGGTCCGCTCACTGCTTTCAAGTTTCTCCATCCATCCAACTTTAATAATAAAAATATTGGAATGTCTCTGTTCACCTTAACCCATATTTTTTTTTCTGAACATGTACTCAAATTTGGTCACTGTATTTTCTTCAAAGGGATTCAATTTAGGTCAGATATCTTGAATGAACTAAACTTTGGAGAGAGAAAACTAGCATCTTTTAATTGCCGCTTATCTGATAAAACTATGAGCTAATGGCGAGTTTTCTCGTCTGCTTCTCGGAATTTTGAATTGGTAAATATTGTTATAATTTCATAAACATCAAAGGTGGTGGACGTATGGTGGTAGCAGGCGTAGTGGAGAAGAGAGAAAGTGATGAGATTATGATTGGAAAATGAAGTTGAAGAGAGATTTTTCGACTTTGGTACTGGTTTGATCTTTGAGCAAAAAAGAAGCAAAAAGAAAAAAAGATAATCTATTGAATGTCTTCTCCCCAAATTCGCCGCTGCTTACCACCGGAGAAGAACACAGTGATTAATGCCCGGAGAATATGGAACATCAAATTACTTAGACCACCTGTAATTGCAAACGGGTTTTATATGGGTTTGGTATGAATGGGGTTATCGGGTGAGGGCTGAACGGGTGGGGTAAATGGGTTTGATGGTTGGCTGTTTAAGATGATGCCACGTGTCTTACAAAAAGGTCCGTTAGTTTGTAGGGGTAAAAATATTAAAAAGGGTAACGGGAGGGAATAGATAGTGAAGGAAAGTATAACGAAGGGTACTAATAATTAATTTCCGATAGTAAAGGGACAGATCTAACCTTTTCCGTAAAAATAATTTATAGATTCTTACATAACGTATGCAAAGTACTATCAACACGGGGTTTAAAGAGTAATAAATTATGCAGGCAATTACTTTTTTTTTTGTAAATCCAACCAAACAGGGTATTGCTTATAAAATTTTATACAGAGATTTTCTTAAAAGCTTCTTGCCAAACGAAACGACCCCTTATTGAATTGCATATACTTAGTTTAGGTAATTTGTAAAAAATTTACAATATTATTTGATATTTTATACACTAAACGAGATCATGGGCCCCAAGGAAAGTAGAGGCAGCCCATACACACCAATAGCGTGGAAGGAGCTGGATATGCTTGCACAAAGATGCAATATGTATGACTGCAAGTGTAAAACATAGGTGAAAGCAACAGACCGACGTTATAATCAACTCCTTACGCGGGGCAAAATTACTTCTATAAGAGGATGTCCTCCTGAATCCAATTTAGTCAATCACAATTCAGCATTTTCATCAAAAAAAATTTGTCCTTTTCTTGTTCCTCTATATCTTTCAAACTAATAGCTCCTAAATTGCCATAAACTAAAAGCTCTCTTGTCGTATAAACATTTTTCCAAACGCGAACACTTTACTCTTGCTTCCTCCTTAAGTTGTACGTCAATGAGGATTAGATTGTCCGTGATGTTTCGAAGAAAAACTTGCATTAACCTCCTGCAATTGAACATTGCAATTGATTTGCCCTCAGAAATTGATGTCTCCAACAAACAGAAATGGCACTTAGTCTTTTGCTACCAATCTATTGTTCGAGAGCTTTAAATTAAATAAGACGGCCAGCACCAGAAGGTTACTATCAGCCTGTCCTTAGTGCGCATCCTACAGTCCAAGAAAAGGTCCGCGTATCAGCGATACAAATCTCCATTGATGTAGTTCAAGAACACCTCTTTGTATTACTCAGGCAATTGATGCAGTCAGTCTAGCTAAAGCTTGTCAAGATAAAGTGTTGACAAGCTTGCTAATCTTTGAGGTGTACACGGTGTTTGCTACTTGTCTCAAAAGTGCACAACTTAATGGTTATGAAATGGATGATCTAGAAGACGTTTCACGTAGACATGAAAGCTTTTTGGAAGCAAACACGTAATCGTAAGCCACCTACTAAAAGTTTCTTTCATCTTTGTTCTGGGAATCCTCAAAGATCCCACAATCATTTAATTCTTTTGTTCTGTGCTTTGGCTTTTTGGTCTCTTGGATTTGAATTAAGGAGCATGGACCAAAAGAAGGATGGGTATGATGGAGGGAGTATTGTTCGGTCGCTGTGTTTTCTTGTCATCGCTGTTTCGTCTTGATCAGTAATTTCAGACAAAACAGACAATCTGTGATAAGCTATCCAAATGTGAGCAAAATATCCCAGGTAGAAGCGTGTTAGAAAGGGGGCGCCAACAGATATCCATATTTGAAATTGTGGTTGGAGATGTCATTTGCCTTGAAGATTGGAGATCAAGTACCTGCTGATGGGATTTTGGTACAAGGTCATTTTCTTTACAAGTAGATGAATCTAGCAATGACAGGTGAAAGTGATCATGTTCGAGGTTAACCTTAGCCAAAACCCATCTTGATTTCTGGCACTAAGGTTGTCGATGGCTATGGCATGATGCTTGTGACATCGGTTGGCATGAACACGACCTGGGGTGAGATGTATGAGCAAAAATTAGCGGTGATTCTAACGAGACAAAACACCTCTCCAAGAACGACTCAACAAAGCTTACTTCAATCGATTGGTAATTGGATTGCTAGTTGCTTTCTTAGTACTTGTCGTCCTAATTGGTACGTTACTTTACTGGGAACAAAAGATGAGAATGGGTAACAAAGAATTCAAACGGGAGCAAGACATCATCGGATGAGTGGATCAATGCTGTGGTAGGAATTGTTGCTGCCTGCAGTTACAATTGTTTGTTGTCGCGATTCCTGGAAGGATTGCCTTTAGCTTGTACACTTACTCTGCTTATTTCGATGAAGAGAATGATGGCAGATCTCAGGCAATGGTTGAGGAAGCTCATCTGCTTGTGAGACCATGTGCCTGCCACCACAATTTGTAACAGACAAACAGTAACTGCTACATTAAATAAGATGACTGTCACAAAAATTTTCTTAGGCAAAAGGCAACGTAAAGGCCAAAAAGTCAGTCACGCAATTTCAGCCAAAGTTCTTGAATTATTCCATCAAGGGTTTGGATTAAACACTACAGTAGTGTTTTCAAGTCCTCCGATTCAGGTTCGAGCTTTTGAATTCTCAGGCAGCCCAACTGAAAAAGCTATTCTTTCATGGGCTGTGCTGGGACCTGAATTATGGATATTGGATCAAAGTCAAGAGAAATTTCAGACATCTTAACGTAGGAAGCTTTCAATTCGGAGAAAAAAGAGAGTGGCATAATAATCAAGAACATTACTGATGGAACAATTTCATGCACATTGGAAAGGGTGCTGGCAGAGGATGATTTCAAAGAATGTGCTCCAAATTAACTATGAATGCAGAAGGGAACATGAAACTCTAGTGAAATCAGACAAGGAAGAATGTCGATCGGATAATTAAGAATAGTGCTGCCAGCAGCCTTTCGATGTATCGCCTTTGCACACAACCAATTGCCAAAAAAAAAGCTGAGCAGAGAGAGGATCATGAACAAATACATGGAAGTATTCCAGACAACTCCTTCATTCTTGTTGGGTTTCATCGGCCTAAAAGATCCATGTCGACCTTGGATGTAAAGGAAAGCTAGTGGAAGATATGCCAAAATTGCTGGTGTGAATATCAAGATGATCACTGGCGAGACAATTGATGTTCACTGCAAAAGCCATAAGCCAACAGATGTGGGATTCTTCATCCGATTTTGAAGCAGAGAAAGGAGCGGTCATAGAAAGGTGAGAAAATTTTCGCAAACTTAACAGATGAAGAACGCATGGGAGAGAGTGGAGAAGATTCGCGTGATGGCAAGATCATCCCCTTTTGACAAACTTTTAATGGTGCAGTGCTTGAGAAAGAAAGGTCACGTGGTCGCGGTCACAGGTGATGGCACGAATGATGCACCAGCTTTAAAGGAAGCAGATATAGGACTTTCTATGGGGGATACAGGGCACTGAAGTGGCTAAAGAGAGTTCAGATATTGTCATTTTGGACGATAATTTTGCTTCAGTTGTCACTGTTCTGAAATGGGGAAGATGTGTCTATAACAACATCCAGAAATTCATCCAATTTCAGCTCACAGTAAATGTGGCCGCACTTGTGATCAATTTTGTAGCAGCTGTTTCAGCTGGTGAGGTACCACTCACAGCAGTGCAGTTGCTATGGGTAAATTTGATCATGGACACATTAGGGGCACTAGCACTTGCAACAGAGAAGCCAACCAAGGAACTCATGAAGAAGCTACCAGTCGGTAGGACTGAGCCCCTTATCACCAACATTATGTGGAGAAATCTAATGGCTCAGGCCTTGTATCAGATTGTTGTTCTATTGACCTTCCAATTCAAAGGCGAATCAATCTTTGGCGTCAACGAGAGGGTAAATGATACTTTGATTTTCAACACATTTGTTCTTTGCCAAGTGTTCAACGAATTTAATGCACGAAATCTGGAGAAGAAGAATGTTTTCGAGGGAATACACAAGAACAAGTTGTTTGTGGCAATCATTGGAATCACTTTGGCTCTTCAAGTGGTGATGGTGGAGTTTTTGAAGAAGTTTGCAGATACAGAGAGGTTGAATTGGGGGCAATGGGGCATCTGCATTGGTTTGGCAGCTGCATCTTGGCCAATTGGTTGGCTAGTCAAGTGCATAACTGTCCCAGAGAAACCAGTTTTCAGTTATCTCAGGTTGAATTACTTGAAAGCCGTGTTNATCCTCGTTTATTTACTTCTTTATCTTCCCTAGAATTATTAATCTGGTCCGCTCACTGCTTTCAAGTTTCTCCATCCATCCAACTTTAATAATAAAAATATTGGGAATGTCTCTGTTCACTTAACCCATATTTTTTTTTTCTGAACATGTACTCAAATTTGGTCACTGTATTTTCTTCAAAGGGATTCAATTTCAGGTCAGATTCTTGAATGAACTAAACTTTGGAGAAGAAAACATAGCATCTTTTAATTGCCGCTTATCTGGATAAAACTATGAGCTAATGGCGAGTTTTCTCGTCTGCTTCTCGGAATTTTGAATTGGTAAATATTGTTATAATTTCATAAACATCAAAGGTGGTGGACGTATGGTGGTAGCAGGCGTAGTGGAGAAGAGAGAAAGTGATGAGATTATGATTGGAAAAATGAAGTTGAAGAGAGATTTTTCGACTTTGGTAACTGGTTTGATCTTTGAGCAAAAAAGAAGCAAAAGAAAAAAAGATAATCTATTGAATGTCTTCTCCCAACATTCGCCGCTGCTACCACCGGAGAAGAACACAGTGATTAATGCCCGGAGAATATGGAACATCAAATTACTTAGACCACCTGTAATTGCAAACGGGTTTTATATGGGTTTGGTATGAATGGGGGTTATCGGGTGAGGGCTGGAACGGGTGGGGTAAATGGGTTGAGTGGTTAGGCGTGTTTAAGATGATGC